GTTTTTGTCATTAAATATTGATAAAATGGTTGGAAGTGGTTATATGATGAAGATTTCCGATTTCGATGATTTTTGGTGTCAGGCTTAGATGTGTTGTAGACACTTGGGAAGAATACAAAATTCAATGCTTTTAAATTTCTCTTTTTTTTTTTAATTTTTAGACTAGATACTAGAACAATTCAGCCTTATAATATCAATATATTTCAGCGCCAATATATATATACATGTATATACTTGTAAGTTTGAAATGAAATGCCAAATCTCACGTCCTCGGATGCTTTTCAGGCAAATTTCATCCTCAAAACCTAACCTAAAAAAGTGCGCCGATACTGATGATTTTCAATTTGAACATGTCCTCAATTGTATGTGCTTAGAACCAAATTCCACACTTTTATATGAATTTAAGACGGATTGGCGGCCGAGGTAGCCGAGTGGTTAGCATTGCGTACTGCCATTCGGAAGGCTCGGGTTCAAATCTCCGTGCGACCAAAAATCAAAAGTTATAGAAAATTAATTTAAATAAAAAGTTAAGTTAAATTTACGAATTGTGGTCGCCCCTCGGCAGGGAATGTAACCCCTCTGAGTGTATTTCTGATATGAAAAAAAGCTCCGCTTAAAAAAACCATTAACCGTTCGCAGGCGGCTTAGTATAAGCTGTTCCATTTGTTTGAAAATCATCAAAACGCAAAACCACAAATTGGAGGAGGAGCTCGGCATCACAGCTACGCCAAGGTATGCAAAAAGCACAAAGAGTAATGAAAACAACAAATAAATTCGTGAAAGCAATTATTTTTATTTAATGAGTTGCAAGGGACTTTAAAGTTTATCAACCAATAACGTGTCATGGATTCCACTTTCTAAAATAAGGTGCAGGACACGCCGCAAGGGTATTTAGTATTTACGGCCAAAATCTGAAGATAAGATTGACATAACTATTTATGTACAAATATAAGCTATATTGGTTTGAGAAATGTCAGATGATGTTTGAGTCTCCCAAAGAAAGAAACTTACTGAGTCAAACAAACCGCTGTTTATTTTGGTGGTTAAATTTAAATCAGTTCATTTGTACAGTTATTTTTTTCTTGTTTTCAAGTATTTTCCTAAGTGTTTTAATAAAATTGGCAATTTTATAGCATATTCAATTCATTAATTGTATTCATAATTTACGGTATTTTAAAAATGATGAAATTCTGCATGCTAGGCTATGAAGTCAAACGATAAATATGTGAAACTTCTACAACAACAATTGTCGCTTAAATTGTTATTGAGAATGACTGAAATACGAAAATGCTTTGGAAATTCATTTTCCGTGCAAGTAACACTATAAAAGAATTTATTCGACTCTGATTAAATAGAAAGCGAGCAAGAGCTTTATTTTTCCGTCTAACAGCAAATTTCAGTAAGCAAAATGTAGTATGAAATTGATACTATTTGGTATTCACTGAGCAACACTCAATTACTAAAGTCACAAAAAAGTATCAAATTTAAGATAGACCATAAATATCAAAACAATTTTTTTTCAACAATGATTTTTCAAAAAATCGTTTTAATTAAATGAAAAAGAAACACAGTAAATAATGATACGAACCATATTCTTATTAGGAGCATTCGCACACAAAATTTGGTCAGTCTTAACACTTAAACAGAAAAATCATCTTTCTTTTCTGCTTATTTTTCGATATTTTTATTTTTTTATTTTTTGTAAATATAATCCTCATATCAATTCGTAAATAGTTATCCACATTCTATATGAACAACATCAAGAGCTTTCAGCATATCGTTTAACTCTAATTGGGTACGTGGGTATTTATTCATGGCTATTAAATCGCACAATTCGCCTATTATGGCTACCTTGCAGGGCGAAATGCTAGTTGTCAACTAGAGTCCAACTAGTTTATCTTGATCCATTTTCCATCTAAGCAACTGGTATTTTTAACACGGCTATGTCCTACGAGCTGATAATTGTCCAACTATGCATCAGCTTCATACTAGTTTCATACTAGTTCATTTAGGCATGTTGAATTTCTCTTTCCATGAAAAACAAATCAAATAAAATCGTCGTTTTGTTGTTGAATAGTTGACAACAACAGCTGATGAAGCGATAGAGAATATGTTTAAATATGTTAAACGCAATAAATAGTAAAATTATTAAAATTATAGCTCAATTATTTGAGCGAAATGAAAATTGTTAAAATATAATACCGAATTCTTCCACAAGAGTGATTTGCTCGATTTGGTTGCAGAAATGCGCTAAAAATCCCTCAACTGATAGTTTGGAATCATTTGAAAAAATCTGGTTACTCAAAGAAACTAGTTGTTTGGGATTCACATATGAAACACCAAACTTGATCAAACTTGAGCCAAATCTGATCAGTTCTGATGAGTAAACTGATGATAAATGCGTTAGATGGGAAAATATAATACGAAAAAAAAGTTATTTGCAATTAACAGCAAATAAGGTGATGCTGAGTCCATGGTCGGATGTAAAGATAATTAATAGCACACTATGAGCTGCTAAAATTTGGCGAAACGGTAAATTCTAAGCTCTACTGCTGCAATTAACTAGCTAACAGTGTTTCCTAATGAGAACGCCGGACCTTTATCTTCGATGATCACGTAAAAATTGAAGACTTTGGTTGGGAAGTTTTGATACACCCATCACATAGCCGGGACTTTGCTCTATCACCATTCAATTGGCAATGATCTACCGAGAGCCGCTTAAATTTATTTCACCAAGTTCTTCGTCAAAGAATCACAGAAGTTTCAAACGGACAGAATTATGAATCTACCAAAAAACAACATATCCTGTTGTCAAACGGCTCCCACGTCACAGTTGTCAGTCGCAATTTCGAGGTCGTAGATAATTATGTCTTTCAAGGAACTAGCACTAACACCAATAATAATGTCAACCTTGAATCGCCAACAGGTGCTATTTTGGTTTAAGCACAAAAGCAAATCCTACATGTCGTTCATCATTCCAATCGTACTATATGGGGCAGAAGTAAGGACGATTTTGGCATACGTTGGGCCGGCTCTGGCAACAGCATTTAACACAGATAAGGGAACGATTAGTGGCAAAAGTGACTCCGCGTCCTCCAGAGGAATGAAAGTGTTCTTGCAGCTGGACTGTATTCGATGCAGTATCTGCCGATGGAAGCAGGAAAGATCAGGTGGAGAGCAACCTGATGTCACTTGGTATTTCCAACTGGCGCCAAACGACGAAGCAAAGGAACGAATGACGCGCTATTGTTGATTCGGCTTGAATCGCGTAAGCGTTGTTCACACCAATAAAGAAGAAGAAAAAATAAAGATAAATCAGAAACTTGCTAAAAACTATAAATTTTGATTTTTCTTTTTAAAATTCTGCAAAACGAACGTTAAATATAATTAAATGTCTGGATGTTTTGCAATTCTATATATTCTTATTAATAAGCGATTTCTTTAAATCATGTATTTTTCTTCAGCTTTTTTGAACTAGTTTTTGAAGACAATATCAATCAAGTGGCTACCTTTATTAGCAATTACAAAACGACTCCTTGTTTCTGCGCTTGCCATTTCCTTTTCGATCATCTCGGGTGTTAAGGGGCACACCTAGTGTAATGGCCGAAAAAAAAATGATTTTTGGGAATTTTTATTAAAAAAAATACTTCATCAATTATTTCAAAATTTTAAGAATATATTTATACATGTTTCGAGAATATACAGTGAAGTCTTTGAGAAAAAAAATTAAATATTTTTTAAGCTATAGTAGATCTCCAACGGTCCTGCAGTGATTCCGGCCTTCTCCGTGGATGAAATCTAAAAACAAATTCTCTATTAGATAATATTGTCGGTACAAAGACGTACGATAAAAAAAACATATTTTCATGGCGGTGTTTTAAAAAAAATAGTCGAGTTTTACCCAAAATTTTGGTCTTTTTGGCCTGCCAAAATTCGATTTTTTAATCAGATCAAAAGACGATAGGTCATTGTACGGAGAATATATAATAAGAATATATAGAACATGTGAAAAAAATTCGATAGTGATCGGATCATTTGTTTTTGAGTAATCACTGCAACAAATTCGGAAAATGAAGTTTCGAGAAAAACGCGTTTAAAGATAAAATGATCGTTTTCACTCGTAGCTAATGAGACTTTATAGCTGCGGCTGCTCTTTAAATTGCTATAACTCAAAAACTATTTGAGATATCGATTTGATTTATCGATACAAGAAAAAAAGATTGATCTTTTTAAAATTTCACACTAGGTGTGCCCCTTAAATCAGTTGATCTCTCAGATGGTGCCTTTTTGCCGCTATATTTTTTCGATATGCGCGTTGAATTAACACAGTGGGAACAACTGTTTTCGATGCAAAGTGTCACAAAGCGATCCATGGCAAAAATTTTACTGAACTGACATTTCCAAAACATATCTGATGCAATCGCTCGCTTGGTAAATGTGAAAGTTATACAGCGCTTACATGTCGACATAAAAGGTGAAGCACCCTGTATAAGTATAACTTTATATAGATCGCACAAATCAACGTACATAATTTGGCCGGTTTCTCGGTCAGAATGGATTCTATGACTTCGCACGTATCGGCGAATTGGCATTGTACCCAAGTAAATGTGAAACGCAGCGCATTAAAACATCATCGCGCTCAGCTCGTAAAACAAGATTGATGGCAACAAATGAATCGTATGTCGTATGTTGTGTGCTCTATGCTGACTTCTGGATATGAATGGATATGGCTATGTTCGGCCGGTAGTTAGTTGTGTCATGCCAGCTTAATGACCAGGTGAACAGACGATCATAGCCAGAAGATTTGATCACGTCGTACAGCAAGCGCACACTCACTGGCTCAGACTGGTTAAGCGCGTTTCGCATGGCCGGAGAGCGCGCTCTCGCTCGCTTGTTTGTCGCTCACAAACTAATTATTATACTGTTTTCCGTCTTCCATGCCTTTTGCTAGTTATTTGTCATTGTAACGGCCGTACAATTCACCTACTATACGGGCGATCGGTTGGTTGGTTGGCTGGTTGTATGGTTGGTTGGTAGATGTCTGTGGTATATTTGAGTGTCTGTAAAACACGTTTGCGCATTCAGTTGCGAATTTAATATAAGCCGAAACGGTGCTTCTCGTTACCAACTTTACTCTTTACTACTTTCGAATGCCTCGAACAATACGCTGTTTTCGAATTTCAATAATTGTTTTTGCACCATCGTTTTCATTTCATTTTATTTTTGCACTCCTGTGCAGTTGAATAATAAAATTTGAGTGGTTTTGAGAGGGATTTGTGGTCGCATAAATGATTTGTTTTGCATAACAGCGCAAAAATATATATGTTTGTATTTTAATTTTTTTTTTCGACTTTTTTTAACGGTGAGTTGTGAGTGTTGCATATCAAAAAGCAAAAAATAAAATAAATAAACACTCAACGGTGTGATCTGCGTTGAGTCAAAACAAACAAATAAATGAATCAATAAATATTTAAATTAAAATACAAAAAGAAAAAATATGATTGTAGTGGCTTCAAATAGGTAAAAGTGAGGAAAACAAAGAAACTAAAAGTAAATATTGTATAAAAAACAGCAAACACCACTCACAACAGGAGAGTATTGGAAACGGCTGCACATAATATATTATACTCGTATATGAGAACAAACACGTTCACCTATTTTCATCGATTTTTGCTAAATTATAGAAAAACCTACGCTCCCGTTTGCCAAAGAAAAATAAAGAAATAAATGAAAAGTGTTTGAAACCCGATAACGAAAATACAACGTCAAAATAACAATTTCAACAACAAAAATAAATTTATTTTTGTTGCAATTTTCTTGTTTTATGCTACAATTTACAAACTATTTCAACTTTTCACGCAACTTTCCCACTTCGAGTAGCAAAAAGCAAAGTCAAAATGTTTAATCTGCGCAGCCAACTAGATAAGGTAAGTTACAATCAATCAATATGCGGTTGCTTGTTTTCAAACTTACAGCGGAAAACTTTGTAATATTTTGTGGAAGCATAAGGAATTTGGGAAGTTTCCCATAAATTTCTAACGGAAATTTTAATGGTTTCCGAATATAATATATTTTAACATATTTTCTGTGCTTTAGTCTTTGGTGTGAGCAAGTTTTAACTAAAGCTTTTAAATATAATATTAAAAAACAATTATTAAGTAGTGAAGCCAAGAACAAAACACATACAGATATACAATAAATCAGAGTACAAACACAACAAATCAGAGTACTTTTAGCGCTTTGGAAATGTTTCAAAAAATATTTGAACTTTAAAATCAGACTGACAGTTTTTGGAAAGCTCACAATTTTTAAGAAATGAGCCATGATGCCTACTAGGAACTAGTTACAAACTAGTACCAGTTATGCCTGCTTTCTATATATATAATTTCTATATCTATAATAATAATTGCATTTCTATCAATTAAGGTCAAAACCATTCATACAAACATACATAGAAAGGCCAAAACTTTAAGATATGATTATTGAACTAGTTATGAACTAGTACGAGATGTAACTACTATTAAATTTCTATAAATTAAAACTTTTGAAACATTTTTTTTCATGTAGTAATAGTATGTATATGCATATATGTACATTTTACAGTATATACCACGTAAATGAATTTATATGTGTAAAAAAGCCAAGCATCACATGTCGCAAAAGTTCATAAAACATGGTGTATACAAAATCCCTCTACAGCATTAAAGTTAAGCGCTTCTGAATGGAAAGTTTTCACGTTCAAACTTTAGTTTACTTTCCTACAACACACAAGTGAAATCAATTAGGATTCGCTTTTCGTATTGAGTTATTAGGTTAAGCTTAAGTGGGGGTGTGAGATTGATTGAAAAGCAGTAAATCGTTGTTTATACACACATCTGTGTATTGTATATATACAGTTAACAAATATATTACATTTAACCTTTCAATTGTTGTTAATTAGTTTTGCCAATGAAATTAAGCATTTAATGAACAGTAAGTTAGGCAAATACAGTTACATAGTACTTACTACCAAATCGAATAGTAAACGGGTTGCAATAATAAATTATACCAGCAACAAAATTTATCTGGAATGAAAGCGTGATTTTTTTATGACTTTATTTTATTCAATTTTGATTATTTCATTTATTTTGCTTTAATTTAATTTTTTTTGTGTTATTATATTTTACTTTTTAATTTTATTCTACCATATCTTAATTCAATTTAGTTAATAATACTTTATTTTTATTTATTTCATTTAAAGTTAATTTTTTTATTTTGCTCTATCTTCTTTTAGCTTTTTATTCTATTTCACTGTACTTAATTTTGTTTATTTACTTTTATTTTGTTTAATTATTTAATTTTGATTACATTTAAGTTAATTTTATTTTGCCATTTTTTATTTTCATCCTGTTCTACGATGCATATTTTTTTCATTTGACTTGATTTATTTTAATTTTATATTATTTTAATTTGCCATTCCCATTTTTTTGTATTGTATTTTATTTATTTAACTTGTTTGATTTAAATACATTTATTTTTTTTAATTTATCTTATACTAATTTTTTTAAATTTATTTCATTGTTTTTTAATTTTTTTAACATATTTAATTTTATGTTATTTGATTTGATTTCAGTTTTTTATGTCTAATTTAATTTAATTTAATTTTAATTTTTTTTTAACTTTTTTTCATTTTATTTTATTTTATATTACTCTAGAATATTTTATGTCATTTAACTCATTTAAATTAATTTCAATTTATTTACCTAATTGGCGCTTTGTAACCGCTGAAGCGATTTTCGGACGAACGCTTCCTCCAATTCCAGGTTTTGCATCTTGATATTTTTTCAACAAAATTGAGGTACTTACACTTCATTTCCAGCCACCTCCGAATGCCTGATGGTTTTTTACTAGGAGCTTTCTTTCATGTCAGAAAGAGGAGGGGTTACTTTCCCTGCCAGGGAGCGACCACAATTAGTAAATTTAACTAAATGTTTTACTTAAATTAAATTTCTACAACTTTTTGGATGTTAGTGCAACCCCAGGATTTTCATTTAATTTTACTTAATTTACTTTATTTTAACTTTTTTTATTTTATTTTATTTTATTTTATTTTATTTTATTTTATTTTATTTTATTTTATTTTATTTTATTTTATTTTATTTTATTTTATTTTATTTTATTTTATTTTATTTTATTTTATATTATTTTATTTCTTTTTATTTCATTCTATTTTATTTTACTTTATTTTATTTTATTTTTTTTTGTTTTATTTTTTTTAATTTATTCTTAATTTATTTTTTATGAAAGCTGTTTAGAAATCTGCATGCAAAAAAATTTTCGGTTGAGTAAAGTTCTTGTGCCATCTAAAAACATTTTTTAAACTCCTCGTTTTAAAAATAGTTAAAACCTTCACAAAATTGTAAGCATTCAATTACCATCAAAAAGAATTTAGAACAACTACAACCAAAAAAAAAAATGAACTATGAGTTCAAAGCGAAAGAACTAAAATAAGAGTATATTACGTTCAAAACGCATAATTATCAGAACAAAATTAATTTTTAAAAACATTTTGAAGGCAAACTGCGAGGGTCAAAACAAACAAATTTGATGGGGCAAATTAATTTTGATATATATTAGTGTCTTCACTAGAACATTCTTGAAGAACTTTTTTTCCTAATTAGAAAAATCGGTCTACATACTTTACCGTTTCTTGTTTACATTTAATTCAAAATACAAAATTCAAATTTCTTCAATTAGTTAGTTTGATATGTAAAATTAGTTGTTTATATGTGCTTGTTTTCAAGTTCAAAGTTTTAAATTTGTTAAGCCTTGTTTTTCAATGATTTTCCGCTATTTGTTGTTGTTATCTTTTTAATTTCGTTTCTTTGTTTCTACAGAAAATGTACCGTTGCTTTTATATTTTTGTTTGAAACGACAAACTTTAAAAACTTTGAACTTGGCCTTCATTAATAGCCAAAGACGAATGCATAAATAAATGTCATGCATATCTGAGACACACTCGGTAATATATACACGCGTACAATACATATGTATATATTTATATATGTGTGTGCTTATTTATGCACAACACGGCAACGTGGCTGCTAAAGCTTAGAAATTTATCGAATACTCTCTTAGGTCACAATTCGTCTCGAAGAATTACTTACGCAATATTTTATTCAACTCACGACACAAATTGATTGTATATGAATTTTTCATATGTGAATTTGTTAACTATTTGCGTGCATTTATTTATATCTATTGGCAAAAGAAAAAGTATAAAAAATAAATCCGTTTATTTATTTAATTTATGCATTACGAACGAACGACCGAAACGACTTAATAACGCAACAACTTTCTCCAATTAAGTTATGTTATGTTGTGTATGTAAATGTGTAGCTTTGTACCGACAAAAAAGTCTGTTCAATCTTTTTTTTTTTTTGTTTTTGGCAAGCACATCTTTCGTCACTCGATATTGCATAATTTCGCACACGTGTTCGCTTGAGTTGACGTAAATCAAAAGTGTGTGCTGCAGATACCTAAATGCATATGTATGTTTATGTGTGTGTGCATATTATTTGGTGTAATATTGAAAACTTCAGCAAGTAATAATTTGTTTAGAATATTATGCATAAGGGAATTCCAAAATTTAGTCCAGCCAATTAAGTTTTCCACTTTCCCCATACTCATACATATTTACATACATATGTATAGATGCTTCAGAGTTGTTAATTAAAACTTTAAGCAAACGTAAATTTATTCTTGACCCAAACGAAACACTTTTCAGCGTGTATGTATGCGTAGCGTTGTGCAAAGCTAAGTTTAGTAAACATTTATCGACTGGAAAAACCCTCATTATCAATTTGTTTAGTATATACATACTCGTACATATGTACATTTGTAAAATCTTTTATGCAAACAGAATTCTTTCAAAATATTTACTTTCGCAATTTTAACGAATGTAAACTGAGAAATGTAGTAAGAAGTGTGTTTATATATACTAAATGGAAGTTTTCTATAAAAGTACTTTATTTCATTATTTTTTTTTAAGTTTCAAAAATTATTCAATTCAATTAAATAGTAGTAATAAACTCTTCTTAATTAAAGAATCGCGTTTAAAATGAAGAGAAAATGTGAAATGTGATATAAGATGCCCGCTGAGAACTAGTTGCAAACTAATACCATTCAGTACAGATCACAGCTTTAATTTCTGCTGAGCACGAATATTATCCGATCTCGAAACCCTCTGTAGAAGACGCTCGAGTATTACCCTTGATGGCCAGCTTCTCAAGTTCCTCACTCGTGTCAAACTATCGCTTTTCCGCCTGCGAATGCGTCTTACTTTCCTCTTCAACACTCGATATCTCCCTCACCCAACGCAACGTTGCAAGGTAGACAGTATTTTGTTCTTCTTCTTCACTGCGACAAGATAATCGAAGCAGCTTTTCTTTTGGCCTTTTCGAATATTACAAGTTCGGCTTGCAGCTGTAATCGCCCAGTTTCTTTAAAGTATATCATCTCTGTGGTGAGAACCGAATCTACGTTAGGACGTCGGTGCGAAAGCACGTCAAAAATAAGGAAAACATGTTGACCGTTTATAACAACATAGTCAATAAAGCTGCGATCAAGTAGTTTGATGAATTTTCTTGCAGTGGAACCTAGTACCATAAATCCTCTTCTCGATTATTGGCCTTGGCACCGCTTACGCGATTATGTATATATATTATTTGTTTGTAACCGCTGAAGCGATTTTGTGGTTTTGAATCTTAATGTTTTTCCAACAAATAGAGGGACCTACAATTTATACCGCCTCCAAACGGCTGATGTTTTTATTACAATGAATTTTTATTTCATATGCGAAATACACTCGGAGGGTGGACATTCCCTGGAAATTAGAACATTTAGCTTAATTTTTATTTAAAATAAGCGCGCCATTCCTCTCTTCTTT